GTTTCCATGGATGGATGAGTCCATGGATGGGTGGATGGAGGTTTCCATGGATGATGAGTCCATGGGTGGACGGATAGAGATTTCCATGGATGGATGGATAGACAGACAAACCCATGGATGGATGAATTCTCCGAAATTCTCCGTCCGGACGGACGGACGGACGGATGGATGGATGACAAGACCATGGATGGGTGGATGAAGTTCTCAAATGGATGGATGGATGATTCCATGGATGAATCTATGGATGGATGAACCCATGGATGGATGGATCCAGGACAAACAAGTCCTGTACCGGACAAATGAACCCATGGATGAATGAACAAGTCCATGGATGAGTTCTTCAAGTGGACAAGCCCACAGCTGGACATGTCCCCATGGGTTGGCCGGGCCAATGACTGGGCAGTGTGAGGGTCCCACAGGTATTGACCAACAGAGGCCACGCCCTCACCTGACCCCTTCCCCACGCCCTCCACCCCTCCCAGAGTGCCTTTGACGTTCTGGGCTTCACGGCCGAGGAGAAGGCCGGCGTCTACAAGCTGACGGGCGCCATCATGCACTTCGGCAACATGAAGTTCAAGCAGAAGCAGCGGGAGGAGCAGGCGGAGCCGGACGGCACCGAAGGCAAGTCGGGATGAAGGGGTGACCAGGCCAGGCCGGGGTCACCACAGGAGGTGACCCCTGACCATGCACGTCCCGCCCYGCAGATGCCGACAAGTCCGCCTACCTGATGGGGCTGAACTCRGCCGACCTGCTCAAGGGTTTGTGCCACCCGCGCGTCAAGGTGGGCAACGAGTACGTCACCAAGGGCCAGAGCGTCCAGCAGGTCTACTACTCCATTGGTGCCTTGGCCAAGGCTGTCTATGAGAAGATGTTCAACTGGATGGTGGTGAGGATCAACAATTCGCTGGACACCAAGCAGCCGCGGCAGTACTTCATCGGTGTCCTGGACATCGCCGGCTTCGAGATCTTCGATGTGAGGCTTGTGGGGGGCGGCGCTGCTGGGCCTGGTGGGATTGGTGTGGGGCTGGCCGGGTGTTGGGTGGGTCTGCTGTGGCTTCACACTGACCTTGGGTGGGAACTTGGACTCCTTGGGTCTTTACGTTGATGTTGTTGACCCCACTGACCTTGTTGGCCTCACTGACCTCGTTGACCTCACTGGCCTCATTGACCTCATTTGCCTCACCGGGCAGTGACTCCTTTGGGTGTTGAGTTGACCCTCTTGACCCCACTGGGTGTTGTTTCAAACCTGTTGGGTTCCAGGTTGACCCCATTGATCTCACTGGATGTTCTGTTGACCCTACGGGGTGTTGAGTTGTCCCCATTGGGTATCACTTTGACCCTATTGGGGGTTGAGTTGACCCCATTGATCCCATTCGACAATGTCTTCACCCCACTGGGAGTTGGATTGACCCTGTTGATCCTAYTGGGCACCACTGAGACCCCACTGGGTGTTCAGTTGACCCTGTTGACCCCGCTGCATGTTGAGTTGACTTNTGCTGGGTGAGCCGGGCCACCACCGCGGCCATGGGGCTTCTCCTTCCCACATCCTCCTGAAATCTGGGGTGGTGTGGGGACACTGGGAACGCTCAGTAGTATCTCCACCCTCCACTAGAGATGCTTCTGGTCACCTCCAACCCCTACGACTATGGCTACGTGTCCCAGGGCGAGGTGACCGTGGCCTCCATCGATGACTCCGAGGAGCTGATGGCCACCGACGTGAGTGGGGATGGATGGAGGGAGGGACGAGTCCATGGATGGATGGATGGAGATTTTCGTGGATCGTTGAGTCCATGGATGGATGGAGATTTCCATGAATGGATGAGACCATGGATGGATGGATGGAGATTTCCATGGATGGATGAGACCATGGATGGATGGATGGAGGTTTCCTTGGATGATGAGTCCATGGGTGGACGGATGGAGATTTCCATGGATGGATGAGTCCATGGGTGGATGGATGGAGGTTTCCATGGATGATGAGTCCATGGGTGGATGGATAGAGATTTCCATGGATGGATGGATAGACAGACAAACCCATGGATGGATGAATTCTCAGAAGGATGGATGGATGGATGGATGGATGGATGGATCGATGGATGGACGGATGGATGGATGGACGGGTGGACAGATGGATTGATGGATGGACGGGTGGACAGACGGACGGATGGATGGACGGACGGATGGACGGGTGGACAGATGGATGGATGGATGGACGGGTGGACAGAATGACGGACGGATGGGCGGATGGACGGACGGATGGATGGATGGATGGATGGGCAGACAGATGGACGGATGGACGGATGGATGGACGGACGGACAGATAAATGGGCAGACGGATGGATGGATGGATGGATGGGCAGACGGATGGACGATGGACGGATGGATGGACGGATGGACGGATGGACGGACGGATGGACGGACGGACGGAAGGATGGACGGGCAGACAGATAGATGGATGGATGGACAGATGGATGGATCTATGGACAAGCCCATGGATGGGTGGATGCAGTTCTCAAACGGATGGATGGATGATTCCATGGATGGATGAATCCAGGACAAATAAGTCCTGGGCTGGACAAATGAACCCATGGACGAATGAACAAGTCCATGGATGAGTCCTTCAAGTGGACAAGCCCACAGCTGGACATGTCCCCATGGGTTGGCCGGGCCAATGACTGGGCAGTGTGAGGGTCCCACAGGTATTGACCAACAGAGGCCACGCCCTCACCTGACCCCTTCCCCACGCCCTCCACCCCTCCCAGAGTGCCTTTGACGTTCTGGGCTTCACGGCCGAGGAGAAGGCCGG